ACCGAGCAAAGGGGGTTCATTTGGAACGTGTTGAGTGCCGAATTCAAAGCTGCAATCACATGTACAGTCTGTGTCGTGTTTTCTCAAGTGCCCTCTCACTCAAACACCCACATTGTGGGGCTGTTTTGGAGGGTCCCCGCAGATCACAGGGACGACAATGCGGTGTGTCGAGTGCCCTTTAAGTTAATGCTCAGTGAAGGGGCCTAACAGACTGCAGCAATCACAGAGGCGGACCAGTGTTGAGTCGGCGCTCGCCACAGCATGACGCCGTCCGTCCCCGGTGTGCTGTCATCCCCTTAGAAATAACATGACTTTGAGTGATTAAACTGCTCCCTCCCCAGAACAAAGCAAACTCAACGGTTATGAATATTAAAGATCCTAATCGTCTCAAGCTGAGCTTTTTGTTTTCTGTTTTGTTTTTTTATTTTTCTGCTGACTTCTTGCCCCGTGAGTTCACAATGTGTGACTAAAATACAATTCTTCAAAAATAAAGAAAATAGCATGCTGCTGCTCATTTTCTGGCTGTTTGTGCTTGTATACCCTAACCACGTAGGTACAATGTTTGCATGTATGATTTATTAATTAATTTATTTATTTATTTATTTATTTATTTATTTATTTATTTATTTATTTATTTTACATTGCACCACTCCAGGGAATGGGCTCTCTCCAGTCACTAAGTAGGAGTTTCTTGTTGGTGAGAGGAGTTTGTCCAAGACATGAATGGTTTGTTTGACTTTTMTGGGCATAGTTAGTTAAAGATGTGATTGGTCAGAATGACTATAGCTATGTTTACATGCACAAAATTCTTTGATCGGATTGAAATGTATTCAGATTAAATAATCAGAATGGATTGTTTACATGGGCACAATCCAATCATRATGAGTGTTTACATGCGCCAGGCTTATATTCACAATAGAAGCACTGACATGCACAGTTGCTACTTTCCCTAAAGAAAAAAAAAACTTCTACTTTCGTCATGAACATAAAGAGCTTCTGAGTGCTAGACGTTACTGCACTCCCTGGTTGAGCTGCAGGTGACGCGCAGACTTTTAAAAATTATTTTATTTTATTTTATTTTATTTGCGAAGCGGCGCAGGCTGTGTCTTCCCTCTTTATTGAATGAGAGAACGGGAGGAAAAGTTCTGTGCTGCTGGAAACAGTGCTGCTGTCCCTCCCTCCACAAAGGAGAAGAAACCGCTGGATGAAAGTCAGCAGACATGCGCAGTCAGTCAGTTTTCCACAATCACAATAAGATAATTGGATTACCGGTAAGTGTTTACATGCATGTCATTCGGATTATCAATCGGCGTAAACCACCTCTCTCATTCCGATTACAAATTCATTCGGATCGAGCTGAATCGGGTCAGAATAATCCGAATGGGGTGTTTACATGACGCATTTTTATTCCGAATAGCCGTTTAATCTGATTACTTATGTCCATGTAAACGTAGCTTGTGTTGGATGGGGCTTGATGAAGGCTCATAACCCACAGTCATAATCCAAGACAGGAAGGTGCTAGCTGCACAAAATTTGAACACCRTACTTGAGGAGGGATGTGTAAGTGTTTGGCTCATTCAAAACAGCCCTAACCCACCTGGAAAAAGATTTCCATTTTTTAAATGAATATTAATATTAGTCATCAATCCAGACAGGATAAATGTTATTTCATAATTTTACTATTACTTCCTCTTTAACTTGACCCAGAAGACAAGTCAACTGRCCAGTCATGGTTTTGCCAAACTCCGCCCACCCAAGAACCTCTGCCTTTAATTCCAAACTCTGCCTACACAACAAGAAGCTCTCCCTGTGTACAGCAGAGACCCTTTTGTCGTTTCATGTGACTATTACAGAAAATTTGTTATGCAACATGTCCATTTGACCATTGGTCATTTTCTGGTCTCAAGGTATCAGTCTTAAAAATGGTTTCAAACCACTATTTTTTTCCATTTGTACCATTCCTGCTGTTTGAATTCCTTTTAATGCCATGCAGAGATTCGCTCCCCCTTCCTGACTTATTGCTGCGAGCTGTCAGTCAGCTGCGTTTGATGGCTGAGGGGAGAATCGCCCTAAACTTTTCCCCTTTTTTAATATAGAAGATAAACTCAGCTGATGAAAACATTCCTGGCAGCAAAATCCACAAGTCTAGTAGGTTGAAGCGATGCARCTGGACTTATTTCATTTTTTTGTAGGCATGTTTTTTCAGTCAAGCATTATTAAAGCAATATTTAATTATTTCTAAATAACAGTGATGAGATTATATAATGTATTTTATAGTTTTTCTGTGGCTTTWTGATATTGTTGCTCAAGGTGATAATTCCATCAGTCTCATACCCTCCTCTGCCCARCACATTTACTGTAATGTTGGAGCTTGAAGTTTATACTGTTGACTCTCCTGTTATATTTGTGCCTGTTTATTCTGCAGCGTTATTTTCTGTGCTGTGTGGGCCTCCACTGAGCTTATCTGTGTTGTTCTGTGCTGATCTCACTGTGCTCATCCAGTGCTCTAAGCTGCTTGGGCTCCAGCCACCAGCATAGATGATATATCCCTGCCCCCCTCCCTCCCACATCTCTCACTTTGATTCATTGGCTGTTTGTCTTTTGGGCCAACAAAAAAAAAAAAAAAAGGAAGAAACGGCACATGAAGACACATGGCGGTTCTGGAGGAGGGGACTTCATTAAAGTACTATGAAAGAGATGAGGTCCCTGAGAAATTGTGGCCTCTGTGGGGAGTGGTTGGAAAAGAATACCTGGAGAGAAACAGCTGGAGAAACATGGCTCTGAATATATACAATACTGGCCTCTAAATAAGAGATAAATTGATTTCCAAAGGGACAACATCAGATTAAATTTGCCAGAATATAGCAAGTGAATAATGTTAACTATTTTTTTCATCCGCTAAAAGAACTTTGCATTTGAATTAAAGAAAACAAAACAACAAATAGGACTAAGTGATTTCAAATTGTACTGTTTAACTGGTTTAAAACCCCAAACTGAAACGTGTAATGTTGATAATTTTACTAAGAGATTACCACCATGGTGCTGCTCGCTGCACTTTAGCAGAGCTGATCCTGTTTAATAAAAAGCTGCAGAATTACTGTCTTAATGGGCTCTCGCTCAGTTCACAGATCAGAGCCTTTGGTCCATTGTTTTAGGTACATATTGTGTAATTGGAAAATAAATTAATTGCTGTTGTGGTGATCAAAGAGCGCTCAAGTGAATAAATTCAGTGTGTATGGGTGAATGGTCAGATGGAGTGGAAATAGTCTACRTCTTCTTTTAACATAGTTATATGAATTCACACATTCTTGGACTTCTTGAAGCTGTATACAAACTAGAAGTAGGAGTTTTGTCTCTGTGGCTGAGCTCTTTATAGAAATAGGACATCTCGTATGATGAGAGTTTATATCTTGGTTGTTATTTTTTATTTTTTTATAAATTGAAAGTCTGCTGAAGCAGGCGACAGGTACCTCCGCTTCAAATGAACGTGTTCTCGCCTTAGCAAAGGGGGTCTAAATTGGGGTTAGTAATTTCAGAGCCTTGGGATTTTGAGGCCGATCTCACTAATCTGGGACAAAAATAACATCGCCCCCTAGAGGCCCAGGGAAACCTAGATACAGAAGCACAGAATGGGAGGGAGGGAGGGAGAAGAGAAGAAACTCCAAAAGCCCAATGCTGCTTGGATGACTTCCCACGTGAGCAGCTTTTACATAAGTTTCTTCAGGGACGTACTAAAACTACATCACAGTAAATGGTGTTAGAGAGTTGAAGCACATTTCATGCAGCATTATTGTGCAGTGGTTGTAAAACCAGTTTTACAAAATAAGGAAAAAACTAACTTATTATGCCTTGAAGCCACATGAAAAAGAGCTACGACAATGCAAAACTTCAAACTTGTAAGTTTTAACATGTAAAATGCTTTTTTATAATGCACCAATCTAACTTTTATGTGAGATATGATCTGCTCTCTGTTCCATATTGGCASTTTTTCTTTTCTTTTTTATTAGTAATTTAACAATTGATCGAAAATCAATTCATGATCAAATATAATTACATAAAATGTCAAGCAATTCATAGAAATGTATTATTCGATTTCATTTTCATAGTTTAACAGTAAGTTATGTCTTTYGAGAAAAAATCAGTTTGATTAACTTTTTCCACAAAAGTATTTGTGATATTTTCATTTGTTTTTGAAGTTCTATGTTACTAAGACTACAGACAGTTACTGTTTGATATAACGACAAAGATGCTGATCTTAAAATAAAAGAAACCTATTTGGTTATACAATGACTACAATTCATTTGTTGAAAAGCATAAATAAAAATATTTGTAATTATGAACTTCAAATCAATAATCAAATCAAATCTGGGTTTGAGTGAATTGTTTCCCTATTATTAATCTGTTAAATGATATTTTCTGACATTTTTTTATTTGTAAATTGATTTCTAAATTTCATGTGTCTAGAGAATACCAAATTAAAGACTGACTTTTTTTTATGGAGTGTAGTTTCATCTATAGACAGTCCTAAAAGTAGAATTAATGTATACATGTTTGTTTTTTTAAAGTGTCTCTTTTTTTATTACATTTGCCACTATCTTGACAAGGACTCACTAGAAGAAGAGTTCTTTTATCTCAATGAAACCCTCTTGGTTAAATAAACAAAAATAGGGGATAAAAAACGCTATGCAGTTAAAATCAAAGCTGGCGTTATCTTCTACGTTAATGTCATCTATAATTATGGACAAACAGCAGCAGAGAGAAAACCTTCAAATGTCAAGATCAATTACATAATGAATGTGAACCATTTGCTTGTTTAAGTCGTTCATTTTAATTTAGTAAATGAGAAAAATCTGTTGCATCTGAATTTTTTTTTCATCTTTTTGGTTGTAATATTCTAAAGCATAATCTGTGTCATGATGTTTTAAAGAAAAGTGAACTAGTGTTATTTTTATCACAAACTAAAAGTTCATTGCTGACTTGTGCTGTTTGTTTTCTTGTAGAAACTGGCGAGGGAGGCTGAACAGCTTCAGAAGGAGCACGTATGGCAGGACGGTGTGAAGGTAAAGTGGGATACTTACTTCTCTTCCTCCTCCTCAGGACTTGTGTTTTTTTCCTCCCTAACTTCACCTAACAGATGAACGTAACGTTTCACCACCAGCCTCCCATCAGTTTAACGATTTCTTTAATGACAATGTGATCAGCATCACAGAGATTATGTATAAAATATATTAAATCGTATTATAGCCCACACATCTCTATAAAACTGCTTCTTTTATGCTATTGTATTATCAAAGCTATTCTTTTTTTTTGTTATATAGCCATAAAATGTGAACTTTGCATTCTTTTCCAGTTGACCTTTTAAAATATTAATGATTCGCTCTTTCAGTCCAGGAAAATAAATGCTACTCTGACCGCACGTGYCTTTGTGCTCCATTGACTGTCAAAAAAGTGGTAAACATTCAAATGGTCAACAAATGTTCACTAGTTGTATTTTATAAAGTGCATTTCATAGAAACAGACTTTTTGCAAAATGCTTAACTTGACAATGCCTCTTAATCAACAAACTTTAAAAGACACATATAAATGAGATTTTGGGGTGTTTTCTCTTGTTTTTTAAGTAAACAGATCATTCTTTGATACCTTCGTTTAATTTATGGAAAACAACTAAAAACTTGCATCTACTTTGAAATCCATTTAAACTGTGGTTTCAGTTTATTTAAGCTTTTTCTTTATTTAAATCTCTGGTATCTAGGTTCCTGTGTTTTACATAATCCTAATGCCACCCTAAAGGTGTGAATGTCTGGAAATCCTACTCCAGGTTTTAAATGAGCTTTAACTTTTACTTCAATCAGTTTTAAACAAACATCTGCACTTGGTGGAGATTTCAACTGATCAGCAGTTTATCCAGGACTGACGGACCTGACAGTTCTGTCCAGGAGACAAACAACTKATGCAAAAAGTCCAAGATCTGTAAGATGACTTTTGAAGATGTTGCATCTYTGGTTAAGATTGAGTGGTAATTGTGTTATAATCAAAACTTTATTATGAGTCTAAGAGCGCACCTAGTTTTCCTGCTGAGAACCACATTTATTCATTAAACAGAAGCAACAAATGCTTCTTGTGTAGTCAAAGTTTATAACCGAGCAGTTTTAAAAAAAGCAGACTGTTGTCTCGTTTCAATACACAGAAAAGGTCATCAATTGCCATTGATCTAACAGTGTATATATACATAAATATAAAAGCTAGGTTTATATACATTGGACACACTTTCCCTGCTGTGATATACTCTGTCTCCAGGGAGACGAGCTCACTGTCACGGTACACTTCCCACAAATGGATTTTTAACCTCGTGCCTCCTGGGGGATATTTGAGAAAGGGCTTTAACTGATTTAAAGCGAATAATTATAAGCCCTACTTCTCTGCAAAGTCCATTTTTATTCATGGTTGCTTACACTCTGAAGTTGTAGTCTTATGGCGTCTGGGCTGCATCGCCCTCCCTCTCGCCCTGTTGGTCGGTTGGGGGGGGGGGGGGGGGGGGGCTGTCCCTTCATTTTAGGCCCGAGGAGGTTTGATGCCTGCCTCTCTCTGCCTGGCTCCAGTGCACCTCAATCGGATGTGTAGCCATGCAGGAAGTGGAGCCGGGGTCACAGTCCTCACACACACACAGCGCACCTGTTCATAAGTAGCTGCATCCAATATAGCATCAATAGCTCCTCAAGTGGAAAAGGCAGAACTCTCTTTAATCTATCCCTCCTTCCTGAAACCTTTACCCTCTCTTTCTGCTCTGTCCTTTTCCATCTTTTTCTTCAAAGTTTTTTTTTCTTTCCTATCCGCTCCTTGGCTTTATAGTCTTCCTCACTCATATACCCTCTTCCTATCTATATGTGTGTTTAATCAGGCATGAAAATAGTCGGAACATACTATATTGTCGCAAATGCTGCAAACGAATCCCAATGGTGCTTCTCAATTAATAATGTATTGAGCTGATTTCATTTGCCTTTATAATTAGGCCAGGTAATGAATCTCAGCAGGAGCAATGGTGAACCTATTAAAAAATATCACAAAAAGGTGGTAGTTGGTGGTGAGGGGAGGATTTAGTGGTGCGGTTAGAAATGCCACATCCTTGCAAGATGATGTTTTTCTCCTCCATRTTTGTAGATTTTGTGCTTTCCTAATTTCTCTTTGGCTGAACACTCTGCTGACTGACACTCTAATTAGATTAAGCCCCCATGCTCTTTGGGCATATTAGGAGAAATGTGTTGCATCTTAAACTAGTGGGTGGAGAAGTCTGTCAAATGGAAAGAAAATGTGTTTTTGTTCATGAGAGATGGAGTCTTTTTTTATTTTATGAACATATTTTGTGTGTGTTTGTACATGTTTTGGCAAGGTTTGGACAAACTTTTCGCTGTGACTTTCAGCACGCAGGTATTTAATGGTATGCGTTTATTAATGACAGGTTTTAGACCTGGCCCAGCCCATCTGCTTGCCCGACCAAACTGGTGACATCATATACGCTCAATGACACGCCTGTTCCTCATAGCGGCTGCCATCACAGCTGTTACCAAAGCAATGGGAGGATCTTACTCTTTCTGTTTTTCTTTTTTTTTTTTTTTTACCCAGGCCTTATCTCGGACTAACTGCAAAGCCTCTGTCTAACCATGCTGCTGGACGTTATGGATGGGAAAATGTTGATCATAACTGTTGAGATGGTCGTTTAGGGTTTTAAATCCATTGGAATGAAATGGTGTGTGAAATAGACATTAAAGTGTTAGATTGTCGCCGATTTCTCAAGGTCAGGTGTCCATCCCTCTGTGACACTTGACTATTGATTTGGCAGCAGAGCTGTCCTAAGTAGACACAGTGGATTTAGTGCTGCTTTACAACAGGGACAAAAAAAATCCTTGAGTCAAATATGTCTCTTTTTTATTTTGTTAACTAAATATTAACAAAGCTGTGCATTATCTGTGGAAAATATTCACAAACAACTAATGTCTCATTTTTCCCTCAATGCCTTGAGACATATTTTGGGTCCTGGAGCACTGACCAGTGCTTAATATTCTTAAATTTTAGGATGTAATTTATGTTAAATGCTTTCCTGGAAGCCAGAATGCATTTCTCTGGGTGATGTGATTAAAAGGGTGTTTAAAAATGCTGCAACCTTTTAATGGCTTCTCACAGAGTATTCTCTTATTGCTAGTGGCTTATAAAGTAAATACATTTTCACMGATCAATATTTCTTGAGGATTATTCCCTGTTTTAACCACCGAATTTGTTAGTAAATTGATGATACTGTTTTGTTCTTTTAAATACCCAGACACAGAACCATTTTAAAAGTAACACTCTGCTTTGTAACAGGTTCAAAAGTTTCATAGTAGGAGTCTTTTACAAAAAGCGAGAAGCTGACCGTTTATAGACTCAAGCTCAGTGATTGACCAGTGGGGATTTGGGCGGTCTCCCCAGGAGAAAAAAAAGTAGAACATCAGTTATGCATCTTCCTGGTATTGGAGGCTGGGAGGGTGTTTAAAGAGCCCAGCATCTGCAGTTTTTGAGGACTATTTGTGAGAATTATTCGGATTATTTGAACTTTGTTTTTCCCACCACTTCAGAGATGCAGTTAAGGCATTAAAAGCAACAGAAAAATTCAAGGCTGCTTTGTCCCAAAACAATTGTGTTTATCTATTCGGCTCCCAGCTGCTTGGCCTCGACTGCCATGCTATCTCAACTCCCCAAGGATGATATGTCAACACGGGCTTGATTCCCTGCACCCCCATCACCCGTGTTGGACCTGGCCTGTGAACTCAAGGCCAAGGAGAGGAAACTCTGAACTCTGGTGAACCGAGTTAGAGGCGGTAACATCGTGGACTCTGGTGGGTCGGGTCGGGTTCCGGCACGGAGAGCCATCCTCAATGTCACTGGCTCCATTGAACCCCGCCCCACCTCATGTGTTACCWGACCTAGCTCCCTCCCMTCCCCAGCTGTTTTGCTCTGTAGTGAGTGCATTTTTTTGTGCGAATGATTTTCTGTTTCTGACATAAATATAAGATCAGAGCAAATTTTTAAACTCATTTTTCCTATTGTGCATTTCCCAGCTGCAAAAAGGTAGCGTGACCCTGTTGCGCATGACCTGGTCACCTGTTCCCCCATGTTTTTGTCATGTGTGTTCTTCTTGAATGGGTGTTCTTAACTGCAATTTTCATTCTACATTGCATCCCTGATGTTATGTTTGAATGACAATAAAGCAAATCTGAATTATGTGTCAAAGTGTGTTGAGTTATTCTTCGTGGGAAGACCTTTGTATCATTAAACAATTTATTGATTCATTTTCATTGTTCCATCTACAACTAAAAGGTTGTGGAGAAGTAAGAAGAAAAAATGTTTCAGTGCTGAATATTCACTTCATTTTACTAATAAAGTAGAATAATCAAAATACCAAATGAAAACTTTGGGGTAAGTATTATATAATTAACATTAGAACATGTTAACAAGAGTTTAAAAAGCAGCTTAACAACTGGAGCTTGGCTTCAACAACTATTCAAACATGACACTTGGGTCATCCATTATCCTTTACCTGCTTCTTCCTTTCAGGATCACGGGGGTCACTGGTGCCCATATCCTGCAGTAACTGTGGAGCGGGGTACACCCTGGACAGGTCGCAAGTTCATCACAGGGCCACAGAGTCAAACGAGACAAACCCTTACTCTTCCACTCACACCCAAAGACAATCCAAAGTTACCAATTAACCTAACAGTCATACTTTTGGTCTGTGGGAGGAAACTGGGTACCCAGAGAAAACCAACACATGCACAGAGAGAACATGCAAACTCTMCCTAGAAAGGTCCCCATCCAGGATTCGATCCTGCAAACTTCTTGCTGAGAGGCATCAGCTAACTGAGCCCCTCGTGGGTCATATGACCCAATATTTATCTATACTTTATTTAAAAACTTAAAATCAGATAAAAAAGGACTGTGCATCATCTGTCCTGTTTTGTGAAACAACTTCACATTAGTTTTGTGTCACTGGGTTACATAACCTTGAAGTTATTGATTTTTGTTTCTCAAA